AGGGGGGGTGGCCCGCACCTGGCTGACACCATTGGAGGGGTGACACCAAAATGACTGACAGTCATTTTGGTGTCACCCCCTCTAAAAAGTCGGGCACTCGGTCATGGACCGAGAGCCCGACAGTGTCAGTCGAGAGGAGGGGACCTGGTGGCATACCTCATCCCGCCGGATGAAGGTCCCCTCCTCTCTATTGCCGCATACATAACCAAGATAGCCACCGGTAGGTGTCAATTAGCTGACCGTGCGTGCACGATGACGTCACGCGCGTGCGCGATGTCACTGCGGGGTGTCACCCGGTCTCCGCCCCAGGTGACATCCGACCTCGGGACGCCCATGAATTAACACTCTTTAGAGTGGAATCCCTTTCAAGAAGTAAGTCCTTAGTCAATCCTCTTTTCCCCATATATAAGGCACTACAACCAAACAGCCAAATTGGCCTAGATAACCTGCGTACTAGGGTTGCACAGATACCAAGTACAGTACTCGGTACATGTACGAGTACATGTACCGATACTTTTGAACTCCAAGACTAGACTAGAGAAAAATTCAAAAATTAGGAGGCAGCTGTCATTTGTAAGGAGCACACGGAGCTCCTGGGATTTGTGCATCTCTGTTTTTAATGTACAATTTTGTTTTTATAAATATAAATAGAGGGATGCACAGATACCAGTTTTGCGAGTACTTGTACTGGCCGTGTACTTACAAGTACGAGTACTGATACATTTTTGTTTATTGTCATGTGACAGTTTTTTAAAAAACAATACAGACTAATGATTTCAGGACAGTGGTGGAGCGCCAGAGCCAGGTCCCAGCTGCAACCGCTGCAACCCTGGTAGTTCTCATGAAAATGCCAAGTACTCGAAAAGTATCTGTGCATCCCTACTGCGTACTAATACAGAAGACTGGGAGGATATGTGGAACAGTCACTTGGAGTCAGGGACTTGAGTTCTGTGGATGGTTTGGACCACAGGCAAAGCGCCATTGGTCCAAGCTGTCTAATAAAAAAAAACATCAAAGCATGTGATTGGATGTGAACACCACAGAGGGGGTGGACCTTGGGTGGGACAACTGTGATGTGGTACAAACTTCAATAAACGAATGCAGTGTGCGGCCAGCTTTTCTTCTGTTTGTATAAGCATCCTGTGATGTCTTAGGCGGGACTTTAAAGTGCAAATCCAGTTTCTAAGCAAAAATTACAAATAAGATGTCCAGCTAAAAGTAAAAACAAAGCCTTTTCTGCAATTTTCACCTTCAATCTGAAGTAGCCCCCCGAGTTAGTAATTTCAACCACTAGATGTCACCAGACTTCTGGGCTGAAGGACGACCAGCATCTTTTAACCCTTTTGCTGCCAAGCCCTCCAGAACGCTTTTAACCTCATCTGGCCACACCATTTTTGCAAATTTTCGCATTGTTTTGATTTTCTACTGCTGTGTTCATAGCGTTTGTATAAAACCCCCCAAACCATATATTTTCGGAAAGCACAAGCCTGGTAGAATAAAAAGATGGTGCTACTAATTTTGTAGGTCCTGAGATAATTGTGCAAATGTTTATCAAATCAATATTGAACTGATAAAAATACACAACTAAATTGATAAAAGAACACTAAAATCAGTATCCGTGCACAAAAAAAAAAACCCTCTGCCTCTGAGCACTGTCATTGACACACCCCCTTGAGGTGATTCATCACACCAGCCTGTTATTACAAGAGTGCTATTCAATGGTGGACCACCCACCACCACCAACAGAGAAGAGGAAAGACTCATGATGTCACTGGACCAGCCAGAGGACACTTGGAAAAAAGATGTGTGGGGGGCCCTTAGGGAGGGGGCTAGGTTAAAACCTGATGTTCTACTTTAGAATATATTACAGGTTCACGTAAATAAGCTCTGCCAACTCCTGAAAATGCTCAATAGCACACACAATGATTTTCCAACCTGTGTCTTCCCTTTCTATGGAGAAAAGGGAAGGAAGGTGTTAACCTCACGTTCAAAGACAGACAGATTTCTGACTGCCTGTTAACCTCAGCGAGACATCTGCCTTTTTTAAAATCATACACAGCTGACCTTTTTTTATTCCAACATCTGTTGGACTATGATGTTTGCTGAGGTCTGGAGGTGACCTTAGACATTGTCACTGCCACTTAATCATGCCAAAATCAAATGAAAAAAGAGCACAAGGACACACGCAGGGAGGTGTTATAAGTTCACTTCCATATGTAAACATAATGGAGGGAATATACCTTATTTAAATTTTCAATGACAATGGCATTCAGGATTGTTGTAAAACTTGTCAAATAATACAGAATTCCTCAATTTGAAAATATAACAGATAAGACACCTAGAGACATCAGCTGTAATTTGTAATATTTGCTGATTCTTCCAGTAGCAGGGAAGGAAAGTTTAGCACTGTGCAGCAGAGCGAATGTGAATCCATCACACAGAATGTCACATCAATTAGAACATGAGTTTCTGCAGTAAACTACTGAAATCTGGCTTTCTTCTATGTGAATGAAAGAGATTTATTCATAGCACATTGCATAAAGTATGTTTTAAGTAGCCCGCAATAGGCAGTTCATCATTTGTAACAGCATTATTTTGTTCACATTTAGGTTTGGATGTTCCCAGCAGCACTTAATTAGGAATATGTGCAAGGTAAAGTATATCATCACACCCACAAACAACCCAACATCTCATGGGAACTATCTCAACTGCTGCCACTATATGAGTGCATGGTTTATGTAGACTCTTATATCCTGATTCCTGAATCGTGAATAATAGAAGGCAGGCAACTACAGGAGCATTTCTATTACAAGGCAAGATTTATTGTAGAGCATAAAAACTCTGAAAGCGGGATTTAGGTATCATGGCTGTATACAAAACTGCCCAAGTCACACACACACACACACACACACACACACACACACACACACACACACACACACACACAAATATATAAGAAATTCAAAAGGTTTTTTATTTATAAAGACATATATACAGTACACAAACTATAAACAGCAATATACATTTAAAAAGAGATAGGGTCTCACATATGAAACATTATTTGATCCTTTACCCTTATTATCACACTTCATCCTTTGTTTTATACTTTCCCCCATATGGTAATAACACCATCTCTCACATATAGATAGATTGCGTTCGTTTCAAACAAATATATCACTTTGATGTTTCCAGATAAATCCTGGGGAGTACACAAAGTAGGTTACACATTTCTCAGAGTTAAATTTGCTTCCTTAGACCAACATGTGGAGATTACTTATCAGTGAGGAAAGAGTGTGCGGACTGTGCCCAGACAGACTCCACCTGCACTAGGGCATCATACACCCCCTTCCATGGGATTGCAGGGGACATACCTCATGTCAGGGAACAGCCTAGGAATCACTTCATGTAGTTTCAAGCACTCGTTCTTCCCATATTAGCATACCTGTTGAACTGTTCTGTATATAATTTATGATTCCCACTGTTTAGATGGCTCATACAGCATTTCCAATGACATCCAATTTTTATAGGCATAGGATTCCAAGTGTAATCCGCCAAATGACTCATCCTGGAATGGGAGTGGGAGGACTGCCTCCATCTCACTCTGCAAGGCATTGGACAATAACACCTTGAATCCTTTGACTATGAAAACTGTATAAGTAAAAAATCCCACTTTTAGGCAATAAATCTATTGAAAATTCAGGGTTGTGGTATAAAAAACTATGCTAACCCATGATACTATTTTTAGAACACTTTTACAAGACAAGTTAAAATATTGTCTCAGATGATGCCCGCTAGGCCACTCACATCCTGGTTCCTTAATTGTCTCTAAACACTAGAGTAATAGTGTGACATAGGGGAAGGCAGCATTTCAGGCCTGCTTTAGAAGGTAAAACAGACAATGAATGCTCTTGGCTACATCTTTATAGTTGAACTATAGTTTTCTAGAAATATAATGTAATGCAGTTGGAGTAGTGTTTTTCCAGAGATGCCATACCCATTTTATTTATTTTACTGGATTCGGTTTATGTTGAAGAATTGGTTCCCAGCAAGCGTTCTGGCTGCAAAGTGGTAATATTGGCACTGGTCTGGGGGAAGAACTTAGGTAAACATACTGGCCATGCCTCAACTTCTTAGTAATGCTCACTACATGGTGTTTAAATGTAAAGTGACAGTAAACTCAGGAGTTAAATCTTAAAAATGCATTCAAGTACCCTAACTATTAATAAAAACTTAGCTTATTTGTGTATCACTCGGCTGTAGATCCTCAAAATATCTCTTAATTGGTGCTGACACTGTCCTTCCCTCTGGAAGGTGGCTATTTTATGTTCCCTAAGGTCCCTGTGTATGTTGTAAACTATAACTTCAATTAAAATTTGTAAACCAAATGTGAGATTGTGGTCCATCATGGGAACCAACTTGGAGCGGTGACTACTTTAAATAAGATACATTTTTGTTAATAGTTAGGATTTAACTCCTGAGTTTAGTGTCACTTTAATAGGAGATGTGGTATGGTGGATGGCTGCATTGGTTTAACTCCCTTGAGCTTCTGCATAAAGTAGTCAAAGACATTCCTCTGTTGTCCTGAATAGAAAAACTGCAGGAAAGTTCACAATTAAAGCCTTGGTATATCCAAGTAATACATGTTTTTTCTCAGTAAATGTGGATTGAGAAATAAAAATATAATTTTATTGGGGTGGTTAGAGATCTAAAAAACAATGCTAGGAGGAAGAGCTTTTTGTCAGAAAAGTCTTTTAATATCTCTACTGGAACAAAAAACTCTTCCTCTTTATCCTAGCAAACATGTCCTTACTGCACACTGCCTCCAGTGTATGCCCATTGCAATGTAAACTCCCAGGCCCAGATGCCAGGAATAAGATGCTTGGACAATACTCAAGTATCGCCAACAGTGCCCACCCAATGGTCTTACATCTTGCTTTTAGTAAATCAACCTCAGTATCTTTAAAACATTAGACTTTTAAATCATCGAGGAAGTGTATTACCAGAATTCTGGAAATCCATGTAGAAGCAGCATGAGCGGTTTCCCTCTTTCCCCTGCAGCAACATAGTGGAACCGTAATCCAGAATCCTGTGGATGCAATTAAAATACAAGTATGAAGTAAGATCTAAGATATTGGCATCAATTCACCAAACAGGATGTATTTTACATGCACTTGTTATTTTATATTAAAAGAAATGATTAGTATAGGTGTCTCATGTAACCCATATACAACACCTCGGTTTTTTTGTTTAGAAAAGTTTATTGTAGGACTCACCAGGCATGAGGATTCTTGGTGTAGGTATAGAGGCGATATATTTTGGCCAAAATACAAATTCATACCTCATGATTTTTGTAATATAGTCTATGGTCAAGCAAGGGTTTAAAACCTTGTTGGGGTCTGTTGATCAATATTTTCACCCAATATTTATACAGTTTTCACACAAGATTCACAATTTTTTCAACTGAATCTCGGGTGAAAATGTGAGAATTTTGGGGATATGTTCTGTGATACTTGAGTGAAAACATTGATAAATTGACCACTATGCATAGCCATATTTCCTTATTTCATATGCACATTCAGCTTCTTCATTAGTGCTGTACAGTGGTTGTGACTTTCTGTTACCATAGTCTCTACCAGTCAAATCTCTTTGATTAAAAAAACAACACATTCTTTGGGTTGCTCAAATTGTATCTCAGTCAAGTTCATTTAATACACAACAACTAAAATGAGGATCCACAAATCTGTGTACAATAATATAGATATGGAATAGCAAACATATAAACAAAAAGGTATGCCATATAAAAAACACTTTAAGGTAAATCACACGAGCTGCAATTTTATTTTGTTCACCATGAATTGGCAGAGTTTGTGAACGCTATGTTACAGTGGAGCCAGCTACAATGTAGGATGTTATATAGTTACAGCAGTTGACATTTATGATCTATGTTAACCTGAAGAAAATACGGTAAGGGATCTTCATCCTTACACCATGGTGCTGTGTTATGAATCACACTGAAAGTAATAAAGGCACATCTTCAACTAAAGGTACTTAAAGGTACTCGCAGAGATGATAGAACAGTCATACTATCCAGCCATTTTCATGCAGACTGAGGGTAGGAACCTTGCTCTAACCTGGATTGTCCCTAATTAAATTGTATGTTTCAAGCTCTGGTTAAATTTTTCTGGACTCTGATGGTTCTTCTAAGCTCAATGTGCTGATTTAATCTTCTTGCTGAAGATTGTCACAGATAGGGTTGCACAGATACCAAGTACAGTACTCGGTACAAGTACAAGTACATGTACCGATACTTTTGAGTTCCAAGAGTACACTACAGAAAAATCCAAAAATTAGGAGGCAGCTGTCATTTGTAAGGAGCACACGGAGCTCCTGGGACTTGTGCATCTCTGTTTTAATGTATGATTTTGTTTTTATAAATATAAATAAAGGGATGCACAGATACCAGTTTTGCGAGTACGAGTACTGGTACTTGCCGAGTACTTACAAGTACGAGTACTGATACATTTTTGTTTATTGTCATGTGACAGTTTTTCTAAAACAATACAGACTAATGATTTCAGGACAGTGGTGGAGTGCCAGAGCCAGGTCCCAGCTGCAACCGCTGCAACCCTGATAGTTCTCATGAAAATGCCAAGTATCGGCACTGGTACTCGAAAAGTATCTGTGCATCCCTAGTCACAGAGGGCCAAGATTGTCACAGAGGAGCTGGGTAGAAGCTACTGCTGGAGATTGTAAGAAGGATTCATCACCCATCAATCAATGTATCTTTGACTGCTCTAAGGCCTAACACACCAGACACAGCCGGAACGCACTGCATCGCATTGCAGCCGGCTCACTATGTTGTGGGCAGTGGCGTAACTACCGCCATAGCGACCCACGCGGTCGCTATGTGCCCCGGGGCAGAGGGGGGCCCAGTCATGGGGGCGAGGGGCTCAGCAGTATACGTGGAGGACGAGACCCGGCTGCTGCGGAGGAGACTGGCGCCCTCGGCCGTGGAGGAGGAAGCCGGGGCCCGGAGGAGGAGGCCGGGGCCCGGAAGAGGTTACCGGGGATCAGCAGTGAAGTGGAGGATGCTGGAGATCGGCGGCATTGGTGGAAGTGGAGGCCGGGGATCGTCGGTGAGAAGGAAGAGGCTGGGGCTCGGCGGCAATTTCCCGCGAAGCCCACACAAGAGTAAAAATAGAAAAAGAAATAGAATTAAAAAGAAATAATCAAAAATAGTAAAAAATAAAAAAAAATCATGGAGGCAGGGCGCTGGGTGACATCACACGCCTGTTGGGGGGCATTGTTTTTTTCTTGCCTCGGGTGTAAAAGGAGCTGGCTACGGCTATGCTCCCGCAGTGCTCGTGCGGCTGCCGGCTGAATGTGTCAGACGCTGCAAATGTAAAGGGGCGGGACACCTCTCCCCATGTGCAACGTCGGCCACACGAGCACCCCGGGAGGACAGGACACCGAGGCCTCTAGGACGCACTGGAATGTAAGCCGGCCTACTCCCTGCGTTCAGGGGCGGGAGGGGGTGTGGGGTTGTATTGAAGTCAATGGCACTGCAGCCATGCCCCCCGCCCACAGTGCGATCACCTGCATGCTGCCTGCGGTGCCATTGACTTCAATGCACCACCACGCCCCCCCTCCCGCCCCTGAATGCAGGTGTTTTTTCGTTGGTAGATCTCATTGAGCTCTTCATTTGAAAAGTAGATCTCCAGATGAAAAATTGTGGGCGCCCCTGATCTAGGGCAATGACCATATACTGTATATCTATGGGCCACCATGTTGAGGATGGATATCTGCAGCCAATTGTGTTCTTTCCTTAATATAAAAATGCATGTTTGACTAGTGCTATCTGCCATGTTTACATTACAATTATTCTACAGAATCTAGTTAGTGATAAACACCATGGGGGAATTTATCAAAACTGGAGCAAGCAGAATCTGGAGCAGTTCAACCAATCAGAACCAATCAGGATCTCTCTTCAGTTTGCTCAGGTAAGATTTGAAAATGAGAGAGAGAAGCTGATTGGCTGCAGTGTAAATCTGCTCCAGATTTTGTCTGCTCCAGTTTTGATAAATTTCCCCCTGTGTGTCAATTTCTTTTTTTTTTTAGAATTGCAATGTCATCTGCTGATGAGATCCCCAAATATCCCTAGGAATCTATTTGAGCAACCAAAACTGCTTGTCTGTCTGCTAGTGATTTTTTCATTGTAATATGGGCAGCACAATGTTATCGTTCTTGAATTGCAGCCCTTGGTTGATTCCTGCTATGCATACTATCTGTATGGAGTACATATGTTCTCTGTTTTAACAAAGGTTTCCCCCCAAAAAAGCACTTGGGTGAGTAAGGCTGGGTTCACACCTAGGCGGATTGAATATGCACGTTTCTTGCGCGGTTTTTTACCGCGATTCGTGGTAAAAAAAACGCGCGTTTCCGAGGGATACTTGGCTATATCCCAATGAAACCGCCCGACCAAAACGCCCCAAAGAAGTACATGTACTTCTTTGGGCGTAGGGCGGTTTCCCGCACGTTCGTACTCGCGGAAAACCGCCCAGATGGGAACCATACACATTGAAAATAATGGCATTTCCCTGTTTGAGCGTTTTTACGCGAGTACGGAAGCGCGGAAAAACGCCTAGGTGTGAACCCAGCCTTAGTTGGTATCCAACAGCCTGGTCTAACTGCTCATGCATATGTATGACAGAAGGAGGTGACAGTTTGCGGGCAAGCACTGATATTAATGAGTTTGTATTCTGTAGACGGACATAGAAAAAGATGACATAATAATAAATGAAGTGCTGCAGATGGGATCTTCCCGCCAGGCACTAGTGAGCTGCAAAGAACAGGTGGGGAGCCAATACTTGGAAATATCTGTATTGGGTGACTGTTTCCTCTTATTTTCTGTTTCAGGTTTTATAAAATGCAACATTATTATTTATTGTTAAACCACTACATTTTTTAACAACTCAAATTGCTAGTTATGTCTTTTAAAGTGTTTTTTTTAAAGTAATGAATCTGTCTTATCCTAATGATGGTTCTATATAATGTATGTGAATATGATAAAGAGATTAATTCATTCTTTTTACCATATTAAAATGTAGGTCAGATCCCAATTGTGATTCTGAAAGAGTGGGAAGTGGTAGATACCTCCAGGCTAAAGTGCTGTGCTTTGAAGTCGAAGTACAAGAGGGAGAAGTGTACATGTGACTTGCATACAAACTGCACTCTGAGAAGCTCTACAGTACAGCTTGAGCAGTGCTGAAAAAGTTTATAATTCCCTACATTTTATACTGTCATCATCTGAAATCTAGCAGTGATTATGCATTCCGAGATTAATTTTATACAGTATACTGCCTATACAGGGCGGTGCACTAGGGCACCCCTGGTGGTGATATCAAGTCATTGCATATTACAACCCCAATTCCAAAAAAGCTGGGATGCTGTGTAAAATCTACATAAAAACAGAATGCAATGATCTGCAAATCTCATAAACCCATATTTTATTCACAATAGAAAATAGAAAACATATCAAATATTTAAACTGAGAAAAAAATACCATTTGAAAAAAACATAAGGGAATTTTGAAAGTGATGGCAGCAACACATCTCAAAAAAGTTGTGACAGGGCAACAAAAAGCTGGTAAAGTAAGTGGTACTAACAAGGAAGACCTGGCAGAACATTTTACAACTTATTAGGTTAATTGGTAACAGGCCAGTAACATGATTGGGTATAAAAAGAGCATCTTAGAGAGTCACAGCGTCTCAGAAATAAAGATGGGCAGAGGTTCACCAACCTGTTAAAAGCTGCATCTAAAAATTGTCCAACAATTTCAGAATAATGTTCCTCAACATAAACTTGCACAGACTTTAAATATGTTATCATCTATAGTATATAATATCATCAAAAGATTTAGAGAATCTGGAGAAATCTTTGTGTGCAAGGGACAAGACTGAAACACAATATGGATGCCGTGATCTTTGGGACCTCAGGTGGCACTGCATTAAAAATAGGCATGGTGCGTTATCTTAATTATGCGGACCAGATGAGTGTGTTGCAGCAGTATCAGGCCCAAAGGTCCCT